AAATGCAATGACAAGAGAAGATCTGACTTTTTAACATACAAGAAGTCAGCTAGATACATCAGTTTTAAACATGAACATCAATTAAGCTGAAGTAAAAGTCTTCTTCTACATATGGCTAGATTTTACAAGGGTTCAGACAACTGTAATTTACAAATTACAATGCATAAGCCTAAACGTACATGTGTACCAATTTTGAACAAACTAAGATTGCTAACATTGATAGAGACTCAACTTACAAGTGGAGCCTATATTTCTAAATACATATAGATCACATATCAAAGCAAATTCTGTATATATAATTTGTAACAAAAGATATAAACTATCACCTTTTTCTTGAAAAAACAAGATTCATGCCGAAATATTCAGGAAGCGTTTAGTAATTGATACTAAATTTCTGAAAGAGAAGCTCATTTTTCTACTGTTTTTGTTTATCTTGCAGGTATAGAAATCGTGTGATCAAAAAACGTAATATCATTACTAAGCATGAAACTAGGCTTAAGAAGGTAAATGGCCATTTTGACATCTATATTAGAAAAATAATAATTGTAGTCGTAGTGTATCCTGCAGACAAAAAACATTGATCTCTGCCACAGAAAAAGACGAACATCACACCTTTAGTGTTTCACTTATGCTCTTTCCACTTTTAACTAACATCCATAAACAAGTGTCATACTGATTATTGGCGTGACCTGCAACCAAAAAACGAAAGTTGTTTTTAGTTCGCAAAGATAATCCGTGCCAATAAGTATAAATAATATCCAAAACATAAAAAATCAAGAATATGTGTCGTGTACAATATCTATGTTGTCAGAATGTCTTACAGTCTTGTTGTCTCCACGTGAGATAAGCCTGAAGAACCACGGCCGATGCACAACTTACAACTTTTGAACCGAAGGAAAGAGCATATTCTAATTTCTTCTTTCTTCTTTGATTCTACTCTCTCACTTTGAAACTTTCCAGCCGACACAAAAAAAAAACTGCAATCGAACCGGACACTAAACCAAAGCTGAGCCGATTCTCTACACCGTCATCATCGTTAATCCAAATTTGTTTTTAACCGAAAAACCCAAAACCCGAAGGCAGCTGTGTTCAATACTTCAGTTTATTAGTATATCATGATATATGTTATGATATATATTGATATATCATAAAATATATTGCTATATCATGATATTTAGTGAATATCATATCATATCATGATATATAGTGATATATCATATGTAAACCATATTAGAATAATATTACGATGTATAGTTTCCATGAGATATATTTATAAACCTTGATATATATTTATATATCACGATATTTTAACATATATCATACTATATATTGTGATATCATGAGATATGTTATGATATATATTGCTATATCATGAAATATATTGCTATATCAGGATATATAATGAATATCATATCATATCATGATATAGAGTGATATATCATGATATATAGTGATATATTAAGATATATAGTGATATATCATATGTAAACAATATTAATAGAATATTATGATGTATGATATATATCCATGTATCTGATAAGAAATAAGATATCACAACATTTAATTCTGTAGTAGAATATACTATGATGCAAACATTTAATAAGTGGTGGCCCACTGTAGATTCTCTTACGCATCTCTATACTATTAAAAGAGAAGTACAAATGAAAATGGGTCGGGTCAAAATAAAAAAAATTGACCCGAAATTTTGAAATCGGATCTTTGAAATTTTTTGGAATATAAATTCGAATTAATAATGAAAAATCGAACTAAAATCAAATGTTTATGGAAATCAAATAAAATCTGATTGTACTTATGGTAAGTAATTATAAAAGCATATTCCGAACAATACTATACATTAACTACGTATAATATATTTGTTCATATATATTAGGAACTAATTCCATAACAATCCACGTTTTTGTCATTAATTTTGCTTATTTTAGCCAATTATCATTAATTGAAAGATATCTTACTTGCTTCTAAAGATTTCTATAAAATTTATCACAATTAACCCATCTATTTTATAAATTAAATAGATATTTTTATTTTGGCCATGTAAATTAAATAGATATGAAATCCATGTAACTAATTTTAATTTAATTATATTAAATCAAAATTATGGTATTTTCATACTTATAGCTTACCAAAGAAGTTTAATTTTCAAATTATAAAGATTTATTGAATATGATTTTTAGATTTTATTCAACAAGATGATAAATATTTATTAAATTTTGTGAATCATGAAAATATTAATTAATTTTATATTTCACCTTTCAATCTCTTATCTAACAAATAAGATGCAGATTCTATTATTCCTATGTCCAAACTCCATTTTGTTGTATGACTAAATAATATTCCTATTAGAGCTTGCAAAACGAGTTGATTTGTCCCGTTAAGCCCGTTTTGCGATAGACAAAATATATTTTGACATGTAGTTAGTCGGTCCGCACGACCCGCGTGTAGCATATATGAAACACAAACCCGTCCCGCGAATGTATGCTGATTTGTGGGGTTGTCCGTGGATTTTGTTTAAATAATTTTAAAATAACCAAAATTTAAAATACTACTAAAAATAAATAAATAAATAAAAATTAGAGAAAATAATTTTATATATCATTATATTTATAAATATTATAAACAAAATCAAATTTGTAATTTTGATGTGTGCACATTCTCATATTTTCCTTATATATTTGTGATATTTTTTATTAAAAGAAGGGTAATTTAGTCATTTTGTACATAAAAAGGGGTATTATTAAAAATGGACAGCCAAATGGGGCATTTTTGAAAAGGGGTATTGAAAAATGGGCATTTTTGTGAGTCTCCCTTATTAGTTTTACATAGTTTATCATTTAGAAAAATTTTAAATTATACCGAATTTTTTTTTTCTTATAACAATATTTCCAATACAAAGTAATATTGTAGAAATAAAAAACAAACAAAGAACCAACAAAGGAGATTTATAAAAGAAAAATTGCGCTTAAAGTTAATAATCATCTACAATAAAACCTATATAAATTAATACTCGATAAATTAATTTTCTCTGTATATTAATAAATTATTTTGGTCCCGAGTTGGGACTCGTGTAAAAAAATGACACAAATTGATAAAATAATAAGACAATATTTGTTTTGAAAATCCTATGTAAATATATTGTCCCATCAATATCATAAATTAATTGTATAAATTTATCAATATATATAAAAATTTATTTATCAATATCTATATATATATATATATATATAAATTTATTAATAATTATATATATTATGTATGAAAAGTTAGTAAAATATGACTTCAGTATTTATCGCCTTTAAATTTGCATTAATTCTTTGTAAAGTTTATTTCTAATCTTTTTACTATATCTAATATTTTTGTGTTGTTTTCTAGACATAATATTTTTTTTTTACTTGTAATTGGTTCTAAAAATATATTGATTAAAAAGAAAAAAATTCTTTTCAGATAAAAAGTTTTAAAATTTACAAAATTAGCTAAATCCCTCTATAAATGGGAAAAATGTCATTTAAATCATCAGTTTGCCATTTTCGTTGGTTTAAAGCATGAACTTTGGATCTGGTGATTAAATCCTCAGTTTTATGTAGACCTGGTGATTTAAATCCTCAATTTTATATGTTGACTTTCAATTTAATCACGAATTCTTGTTGACTAAGCCAATTAAAACACATCGTTAACTGGTTAAACGGAGCAATCAGACGAAGAAGAAGATGGAAAGTAGGCCTGTCATAAATATCCGCTACCCGCGGATATCCGGATCCGGATCCGGGATCCACTCCGGAAAAACGGATATCCGGCCAAAACGGATCCGAATACGGATAGAGAATTTTCGGATCCGCCGGATCCGGATCCGGATCCGGATACGGATAATAAGATTTTTGGTGGACGGATATCCAGATCCGGTTACATACAATTATAAAATAATGTCATTATGTCTGAGCCCACGTTTAAAGCCCATAAGCCTCACAAAATGAATAAGAGTTTGTTAACCCACGTTAAAAGCCCACATCATTTTTAACCCCATCTAGGGGTTGTTTCTTTCTTTCTCAATTCAGAGAAACGCAGCCGTCATCCTTTTTGTTTTTTTTTGTCAATCTTCATCTCTTCGCCTTAAAATCACAGAAGAACGTAAGACTCTTCTCTTCGCCCTATAATCACAATCCGCAAAGGAATTCGCCTTCTCTATATCTTTTCATCTCCAATTTCAGTCTAACTTTTGACAACTCGTTTTTTGTCGACGAGATCAATTTCTTCTTTTAATACTCTTTTATTTTCGGTCATGTCACCAAGCTTTTCATCTCCAGATTATATAAAACTTCTATAAATCGTGTGAATTCATGTTTTTTTTAAGATCTATAACAATTTACGGACGGATACGGATATCCGCCGGATATCCATTTTTTTCCGGATATTCGGATTATGGATATCCGGATTATACGGATACGGATACGGATACTATATTTGTGGATCCGTCAAATCCGGATACGAATCCGGATAGTCTGATTTTTCCGGATATCCGCTCCGGTAACAGGCCTACTGGAAACCATGTTGGTGTAGAAGAAAAATTATGTGATGGCATCGAAGTGCTAGTTATTCGATGACATCGTCTTATTGATTCGTTTAGCTAGTTAGCGATGTGCATCAATTGGCTTTGTCAATGAGAATTTATGATTAAAATGAAAATCAACATAAATTAAAAATTTAAATCACCAGGTCTAGAATTCATGATTTAATTTTAAACCAACAAAAATGGTAAACTGATGATTTAAATGACATTTTTCTTCTCTATAAATTAATATTTTTATATATTAATAGAATTTTAAAGTCCTAACGTTATTAATTTATAGAGGTTGCAGTGTAGTATTGCACATCTTGCTGTGTTCACACATATGCACATCTTGCTGTCTTCTCTGTGAACCAAACATCGTGCCGTTTTTTCGAAAAAGAACCGTTATATAATCCTTGCCTTTAAACCAATGACATTGACGTCAACAACGACGATGAGTGTTCTCTCAAGCTTCCATAAATCATGGAATAGTTTGATTCTCGCAAGTCAACGTTGCAACACAGTGAACCAAATCAAATCAACACATTCTCTATTCATCATCCATGGCCTCCATCGAAACACTTACGCAATTAGCAAACTTCTCACAGCTTTTCTCCATCTTCCCAATTTAAACAAACACTTTCACTACGCTTCCTCTATATTCGATTCGATTCAGATTCGTAATTCATTCGTTTACGATACTATGATACGAATCTGCTCACGAAGTTCTCTTCCTCACTTGGGTTTACGATATTTTCGATTAATGGTGAAGGAAGAAGATATAGCTCCAAGTTATCTCACGTTTCATTTCTTGATTGTTGCGTGTTTAAAAGCTTGTTTATTCTCTGTGGGTAATCAAATTCATTGTTGGGTTGTTAAAAATGGTGTCTTTTTATCGGATGGTCATGTACAGACTGGAGTTTTGAGGATTTATGTGGAAGATAAAGTTTTGTTAGATGCCCGCAAAGTGTTCGATGAAATTCCTCAACCAGATGTTGTGAAATGGGATGTTTTGATGAATGGGTATGTTAGGTGTGGTTTAGGTTCTGAGGGTTTAGAGGTGTTTAGGGAGATGTTGGTACGAGGAGTAGAGCCTGATGAGTTTTCGGTTACTACGGCGTTAACGGCTTGTGCTCAAGTTGGGGCTTTAGCTCAAGGGAAGTGGATTCATGAGTTTGTGAAGAAGAAGAGATGGATTGAGTCTGATGTGTTTGTAGGAACGGCATTGGTTGACATGTATGCTAAGTGTGGTTGCATTGAGATGGCTGTGGAAGTTTTCGAAAAGTTGACTAGGAGGAATGTTTTCTCATGGGCAGCCTTAATTGGAGGATATGCTGCTTACGGTTATGCAAATAAAGCTATTACGTGTTTGGACCGGATGGAACGAGAAGATGGTATTAAGCCTGACAGTGTAGTTCTTCTTGGGGTCTTAGCTGCTTGTGCTCATGGTGGATTTCTTCAAGAAGGCAGAGCAATGTTAGGAAATATGGAAGCTCGATACGGAATTACTCCAAAGCATGAGCATTACAGCTGTATAGTAGATTTGATGTGCAGAGCTGGAAGATTAGATGATGCACTTGATCTTATCGAAAAAATGCCCATGAAACCTCTTGCATCTGTTTGGGGTGCTTTACTAAATGGTTGTCGAACGCATAAGAATGTTGAACTCGGAGAACTAGCTGTTAAAAATCTTCTTGACTTGGAGAAAGGAAATGCAGAGGAAGAGGAAGCAGCTCTTGTTCAACTATCTAATATATACTTTAGTGTTCAACGAAATCCCGAGGCATCTAAAGTTCGTGGAATGATAGAGCAGAGGGGGATAAGAAAGACACCAGGATGGAGTGTGTTAGAGGTGGATGGAAATGTTACCAAATTTGTTTCGGGAGATGTGTCTCACCCAAATCTGCGACAAATTCACACAGTGATTCATCTCCTATCTGTTGATGCCTTGCAGATTTTGTAACACTCACTCTTGAAGCTGCAAATCTTATCAAAGGACACTCTTGAGTTCTCTCGTTTCTACAGATTTTCTATTGAGCACCTCTCACCCGTGATATACACAGGAGCGCTGTCCAAAGGTTATGTGGTAGTGGAGACGAGGAGTACTTATGAAGGACCAAGAGGAGCTTCTGGACACGGTGCAGCATTTGACTCCCCGAAACAGGAACTGGAGACTTAGGCAAGGCCTGAAGAAATTGATGAGCCTCTCAGGAAGGACCCTGAGAGTAGCGTTGTAAAGAAGTGTCTGATTCAAACTTTACGGTATCTGGAGACTTGGAGAGAGGAAGAGAAGTGCATGAAGAAAACAGTAGCTACAGTTGAAATTTGCATGGCGTTTGGGCACACCTAATTAGCATGTAGAGAATAGAGAGGATTGAATCTCTTACAGTGAAAAGCTGAATAAATAACGTAAGACATAACTCATAGTATATTTTCCATTTTCTTAATCCTATATTCTAGGTAATCAAATCTGTTACTGCAGGCAACCAGTGATTGATAAGGGTGTGTGTATCTTTTCTTCGCTCAGGGACAATGGTTCGCTCAGGTACGCTCTTGTCTTGCTTAACAGTTGCTGCCTTAAGTTATGTTGTGCTCCTTAGAAACTTTTCTCGACATGTAAAAACTTAAACATTTAGGATCTTGTTTAAAAATTCACTCATATGATTTGCTCTCATTAGCATCTCACTAAGAATGAAAGAAGCTTATTGACAAGAACTTGATGGGAAGTCTTACGAAATCCCGACACAATATCTTCTTGTATGTTTGGCTTAGTATTGGGTTTTAGTTGCTTAGGTAGCATTTCACATACAGCCTGATGCTAGATTCTCTTAGTATCATGTTGGTGTACAACGTATTACCAAATTACACAATAACAGAAACTATAAGTTTTTGGTCTTGGATAACACAGTCTCTGTAATTTTGAACCATACTTCAAGTCTTCAAGAAGTGCTTGCAGCATCCCCTGTAAATTTTCGCAAACCACAAGCTCTTCAGTTATGTAATGATTCAGGGAAACCATAGCTCAAATCTAACCAAAAACCGAAACTAACTAACTGAAAATTAAAAACCATCTTGTTCACACATTTCCATGACTGAAGAATCCACAAAACTGTAACTGTTCTGTTGACCTCAGTGTCTAATTTATGTCCTGGTTTTCCATTGTTTTAGGTTTTGGTCAGTTGGAGAAGTATAAACTGATAAAAAGAAACCTAACCTTTTGAAGGCGAAGGGATCAAGACAACGTGCATCTTTGTGTTGTTGGGAGGGAGATGCAACCGAAGGGGATATAATTTCCCGTTTAAAGGGTTTTTGGAACAGATTGATATGTCACTTAGACCTGTCTCTTCTTTGAGCTTCTGTTTGAGCTCTTCTAGTCCCATTCCTTTGAAGCAGAAAAGCTCTTCCTTTGTTGTTTCGTCTACGTTCCCATCTTCATCCCCAATCCTATAATAAATTAGCCTGCCATCTGCCTTGACCGGTGAGCTGACACTGTCATCAGACTGATCATAAAATGTAAAAAAACAAAAGGTATAGGTCAGTGATCTTTGATGCCCGAAAAAATCTTGTCTCTTTGATAAGATGCTACAACTACTTGTTTATTTAGTGATGAGTATAGAACTGATCAAACCTCGGATTTGGAAAACCTTGGGGACCTGAGAGAGAATCCTTTGGGTGAATTGGGCTCTTGATGATCATCTTTTCTTTCCTGCAGAAGCTCTGGTGGTGGTGGGGGAGGCGGGAGAGGCGTATAAGCCGGTTCAGCCACTGGGGGTGCTTTCTTCTTTCTGCTTTCCAAAATATCAACATCCCATAAAACCCAGTCCTGTGTGGTTGACCTATGAGGAATATCATGTGTAATCGAGTTCCGCCACGGTGGTAAACCCCCATTAGCTCGGAGATACTGTCCATACCTATTGAATTCAAATTCTATCACACCATTCATATTCAAGAAGACTATATAGGTGAGAGATGGTCACGTTAGAAGAGAGATCAAAGTAGACACGTACCTTGTCTTGAGCCTAACCTGAACGCCTTCTCTAACAGGTTCCCATTCAGTTGATGAGTCTAGCCGTCGCGGGAGTGTTTGCGTTACCTTCTTCCCGGTCATGCCAAGGAACATTGGGATGTTTGAAGCGGTTAGGTACTTGCCAAAGCAACTCTTAAGACGGATCACGTTTGTCACTTCTACAATCTCCACCGTCCATCTTGCGTTCATAGACCGCCCATCTCTGTCCTGGCTCACGGAATCTTCGTCCTCCTCTGCTAAAAGGTACTTGTCGTGGTAGCTACGTAAACGCACGGTTTCAGCCTTCTTGAAAATCTCCATTATTGTTCTGTTGTATCAAAATACAAAAATCTCTCACAAAAAAGATATATCTTATCAAAAAAAATAAAAATCGTATACAGAATCCTTTAAAGCCAATCGTTTCTGCTAATTTCATAAAACATTCATGTTTGAATTTGAAAATGATAACAATGTTTAGCTTTCGCTATACCTGAAACAGGGATCTGTCGATGGCCAGGGCCGCGATTTTACATTCAACGATGTGATTGAAGATCATTCATGCGAACAAATTTCAGGTACTTTGGAAACCTTTTTTAGTTTCTTTGATTTGGATTAGAGAAAAAAGAGGTTTCTTTGTTTTCTTATTATTTGTGGTGTTAATATGTATTAGGATTTTTATTAAGGGCATATTAGGAAACAGCTACGTACTTCTATTTGTTAGCGTACGTATGAAGATGCATATATTAAGGGCTTAAAATAACATACGAAATGCTTTAACTATCTTGTAACTAGATTTCTTGTGTTCATCTAGTTGAGCTCTCTGAACCTTCTTCCTCCTCTCTAGAGACTGAACCAGATCGTTAAGAGATCCATCAACATCTATTTCACGATTCTTCTTCATCAAGTTCTCAGCAACATCAGCTGGTGCGATCGTCGTGTCCTTCATCAAAGACTCGATCGTTTTGAACAGGGGATGAGAATCAATATCCAGATAGTTCTTTGCTAGAATCTTGAACGCCTCGAAAGTACAGTAGGACAACTCAATATGCATATCCATTCTCCCTCTCCTTATTAAAGCCGGGTCAAGTTTTGCCAAGTGATTCGTCGTGAAGACAATGATCCGCTCTTGTCCACAAGCAGACCAGATCCCGTCAATGAAGTTCAAAAGCCCAGAGAGTGTTACGGAACTCTTGTTTTCTTCATCGCCTTGTTCTCCGTCGTTTCTCCAGATCATCAAGTTGCTCTCTTTCTTCTTTCTTTTGCCGGTAAGATCCAACGAGCAATCAATGTCTTCAAACACGATAATCGACTTATTAGAAGTAGCAGTGAGTAGTTTCTTCAGCTCTGAGTTGTTCTGTATAGCCGTGAGTTCGATATCGTAGATACTATAGTTCAAAAGATTCGCCATTGCAGCTATCATTGTCGATTTACCGGTCCCCGGTGGTCCATAGAGCAAGTAACCCCTCTTCCAAGCTTTCCCAATCTTCTTGTAATAATCTTTACCGTTGCTAAACGCAGCAAGATCATTCAAGATCTGCTCTTTCTTCTTCGGATCCATAGCTAACGTCTCAAAATTCGCAGGATGCTCAAAGTCAATATATCTCCATAGACTAGTCTTGCTGGATCCCCAATGAGAACTCGGATTGTTTGTGAACAACTTCATCTTCTTGTTCTTGGTTTCAATCGATTTGCCTTCTTCAATAACATATTTTATGTACGATTCGGTTACAATATCTCGCGAGCGTCTATGGAAAGTGAGCTTCAATGTTTTAAATCCTATGGAATCAGTCTCAGTCTCCCACCAGACACGAATTCCTTCATACTCATCTCGGACTTTAGTCTCGTCTCGTTTCAAAACCAAGCCCTTACTCTCTCTAACCTGGCTTGCTCTTAGATGCTTGGCTTTATCAGTTGCTTTTGCCCCAAGGTAAGTCTCGATGGGGTCGAAAGCGTGATTGATTCGATAATCTTCGTATTCAGCGAAGTTGATTTCAACATAAGGAGAGAAAAAGTTAATGAATCTGTCGGAAAATCTCTGGAAAAAAGAGAGTTGTTGGATTGTAGAGAGAAGAATCTCCTTAATGGCGATCTTGAGGTGGTTAGGGAAGATTTGTTGAATAGTTGCCCACAAGAAGAACAAACTCGCCAAGCTTGAACCAAACATATTTCCCATCATCATAATTTTTTAGATCAAAACCTTTCTTGTTTTTCTGGGAGTTGGTTGTGTTTGGCCATGAGTATATATAGTGTGTATTACTTGTGAAGGTAATGTGTGAGTTCCAAGAAAAAACAAGAACAAAGCTTTGTGTTTCGAATTTGGAAGTCCTTGGTCTCCAAGTTGTGTACTACTATTGTCCAAATTTTATTTGTTTTTCCTTTTCAATACCAAATATATATGCCTTTTTTCATAAGATTTTCTAGTTGGTGTTTTGATTTCTTTCCTTTATTGGTTATTATATATTTCCTTTGTTTCAATTTACTTGTAGTTCAAGGTTTTTGCACATAGGTTAAGAAATAAAAAAAAATCTCATTTAATTTATCTCTTTTACATAAAAACATTATTTACTACTACTAATTCAACCAATAAAATAATATATTGTAAATATAATTAGTCAAAAACTATTAAAAACATTTAATTTTTGCATAGAAAGATGAAAATAACACTTATTTTGCAACAAAAAATTTATTCTAAACTACAAATAAATTGACACGGAGGGAATAATCAATGTAGCTTTATTTGGTTCAATTAATAAAGAGTCGTAATAACTCGACTATGTTGAAATTAAAACCTTAGGGGGTGTTATTGGTTTATGATTTGAATAGAGTTTTAATGACTTTAAATGTTATGTAGAATCTGTTGTTATCCAATCAAGATTTTTTAAAAGTTTGTTAAAGTTTGGTGTTATTAATTTAAGATTTGTGAAAAGTAATCTAAAATCTTTAAGATTCTATAGTTATTAGATTCATACTTTTATAAAGTCATTAAAAGTTTTATTCAATTAAAACAAAAGAATCTATGATTGTTAATGCATTAAATTATTATGTTATTGGTTTATGACTTTATACACTTTTCTTCTCAAAATAAAGTAGAGATTGTTTGAGAAACTTTACAAGATTATGAAAAAACTTATCAACAAGATTATAGAATACTCTCTAGCAATAGTTTAGAATTTTTCATTTATTTACTTTCTATGATTTTGTTAAAATCATCAAAATTCCTTATAAATTAGGAACAAATAACACCCCCTTAGTGATTATTCATCACTTGATTTTATCATTTGATCTCATTTCTTAATCTTATCCCTAGAGATCCCTTGGTCCCCAAATTACTTTGTTAGCAAGTAGTTAATGTTTATCTCTTCCTAAGTTTACTATATATAATATATATATATATATATATATATATATATATATATATATATATATATATATATATATATATATATATATATGCTTGAGTTGTAAACATTGGATGTAAGAAACAACAATAAGAAGCTTCACTTTCACTCTCTCGTTGTCTCCTCTTCCTCTCTATGTTCTCTTTATAAAATAATATATAATCTTACCTCAAATATATACACATATGTAAATGTGTTTCGTTATAATTTTATAACAGGCTCATGTAATTATATTGTTTGATTTTCATAGTATTTCCTCTCTTCGTAATACTATTGAACACATAGAAATTTCGTTAAAATGTTTCCTAAAGACCCTTCTGAACATAGTCTTCTAAAAATCTATGATTTTGCAGTAGTGGATGATGATGAAAGTTACGTAAAAGTGCATGATACAACTTTCAAGTGACGACTAATCAAGTCCAATGGAGTCAACTTGGTCGGTTTATTTTATATTGTGGGCATTAGGTTAAAACCTATATTCACACTCTCGTTTCTCAAAATTTATACTAAATATCAATTTGTTTTATTTAGTTTTGGATAAAAACCAAATATCTATCTTCATATGATCATCATTCATTCATATCTCACAAACTAATGCATATTATATAACTCAAAATAATAATAGTCTAGAGCTCCACCTAGGAAATTAAAAACAATGGAAATGAGAAATCAGGCTTTAGATGACATGCGAAATGCTTTATAAAACTTATTGATATATTTGTCCTTTGGTTCATCTAGTTGAGCTCCCTGACTCTTCTTCTTCCTCTCCAGAGCTTGAATTAGATCTTTAAGAGATCCATCAGCATCTATTTCAACATTCTTCTTCATCAAGTTCTCAGCTACATCAGCTGGTGCGATCTTTGTTTCCTTCATCAAAGACTCAATCTTCTTGAACAGAGGATGAGTATCAAGATCCAGATAGTTCTTGGCTAGAATCTTGAACGCCTCAAAAGAACAGTAAGACAACTCAATATGCATGTCCATTCTCCCTCTCCTGATTAAAGCCGGGTCGAGTTTCGCAATGTGATTTGTCGTGAAGACAATAATCCTCTCTTGTCCACAAGCAGACCAAATCCCATCAATGAAGTTCAAAAGCCCCGAGAGTGTTACGAAACTCTTGTCTTCTTCGCTACCTTGTTCTCCATCTTCTCTTGAGGTCATCAAGTTTCTCTCTTTCTTTCTCTTACCCGTAAGATCCAAAGAACAATCTATATCTTCAATCACGATGATTGACTTGCTAGAAGTAGCAGTGAGTAGCTTCCTCAACTCCGAGTTGTTTCGTATAGCTGTGAGTTCAAGATCATAGATACTGTAGTTTAAATGATTCGCCATTGCAGCGATCATTGTCGATTTACCAGTCCCCGGTGGTCCATAAAGCAAGTAACCCCTCTTCCAAGCTTTCCCAATTTTCTTGTAATACTCTTTACCATTGCTAAAGGCAGCAAGATCATTCAAAATCTCCTCTTTCTTCTTTGGATCCATAGCTAGCGTCTGAAAATTCCCGGGATGTTCAAAATCAATATATCTCCAAAAACTCTTCTTGCTAGAGTCCCAGTGAGAACTCGGATTATTTGTGAACAACTTCATCTGCTTGTTCTTGGCTCCAATCGATTTGCCTTCTTCAACAACATATTTTATGTAAGAATCGGTTACAATATCTCTTGAGCGTCTATGGAAAGTGAGCTTTAACGTTCTATATCCTGTGGAGTCGGTTTCCATCTCCCACCAGACAGTAACTCCTTCATACTCATCTCGGACTTTAGTCTCGTCTCGTTTCAAGACCAAACCTTTACTCTCTTTAACCTGGCTTGCTCTTAGATGCTTGGCTTTATCGGTTGCTTTCGCCCCAAGGTAAGTCTCGATAGCTGCAAAAGCGTGGTTAAATTGATAATCTTCGTATTGAGAGAAGTTGATTTCGACATAAGGAGAGAAGAAGTTGATGAATCTGTCGGAAAATCTTTGGAAAAATGAGAGTTGTTGGATTGTGGAGAGAAGAAACTCTTTAATAGCGATCTTGAGGTGGTTAGGGAAGATTTGTTGAATAGTTGCCCACAAGAAGAATAAACTCGCCAAGCTTGAACCAAATGTATTTCCCATCATGATGATAGTTTAGATCAAACCCTTTTTCTTTCTTGTTATTAAGACGTGAGAGTATAAGTTGTATTTGGGGGTATGAGTATATTATTATATAGTTTGAATAAAGGTTGTGTCTACTCGAAAAAAAAAGAAGAAATTTCTAAGGGAATCTTTGGGACCCAAGTTTAGTACTAATATTCATTTTCTAAATTATTGTTTTTTTTTGTTTTCAACATCAAGTTATTGTCATAATTCTAGTAAGCTTTATTTGGTTCAAATTAATAATTATCAGTTGCCATAATTTGACTTCTTATATACCTTTTAGAAGATTTTCATGCTTGTGTTTCCTTTAACTTTTTTTTGTTAATGGCTATGTTTCGTTTATTGGTTAAAGCTTTATTTGGTTCAACTAATGAGGAATCGCTATAACCCAGGCTCATACACTTTTTGAATCCATTCACTTTCCTTTCTCTGCACATCTCTTTCAACACGTTTTGAATCAAACCAATAACTTTAAAGTCCAAAAATTATACTCCGTGTATAGTTTGCCAAGGCTATTGTTTGCCAAGTTTCTAAGGCTATTGTTTGCAAAGTTTACCTACTTTCCGTGTATATCTAAGTGCCTAAATTGTGTTATTTTCTATGATTTTTACATTCTTCCCATGTGAATTGTGTTTTTAATGGAAAATAACTATACTCATTTTATACTCCATCCGTTTAGAAATAAGTGTGTTTTAAAACAAAAATCTTGTTTTAGAATAAGGGTCGTTTAACATTTTCGATACAGATTTTTTGATAAATGTTACAATTTAATCCTTACTAATTTAAGGTATTTGCCAATAAGAAAATTTGTAAAGTATATATATTAATAAAGAGTAAAATAGAAAATTTATTTGTTTTCTTAATATTTGGATAGGATATTTTTGGATCACTTTGTTCACTATTTATTTGTTCACAATAGAGTCAACTTGGTCGGTCTATTTTATATCTTGGGAATTAGGTTAAAACTTATGTTCACGCTCTCGACATTACATTTCTCAAATTTCATACCAAATAATAATCTTTCTTTTCTTTTCTTTTTTAGATAAAAACCAAATATATATCTTCATATGATCATCATATCATATCTCACAAACTAATGCATCTTATATAACTCAGAATCATATTAGTCTAGCTAATCTCCACCTAGGCAATTTTGTTGCATAACAGAAATATTATTGGTGTTTAGAAAGTTTGGGTAGCAAAACCAGAGTTTCAAAGCTTTTTATGACTAACTTTTACTTTTTCGAAGTTTCCGAGCTTTCTCCATGTCATTTTCCTACTCCAATATATCTTCATGTAACCTTCCGTATTCAAAAATAAGATTTTATTAAAATGTATATACCATATAGTATTATTTGTCCACATTTTTCCACAACTTATGGAACAAGATAAAAATGTGTTTGTCTAAATAAAGAACCGTGTGATGTGAACGCGCGTGTTTTGAAAAGCCAATTTCACACCACTCTTTCATAGGAACTCAATAAATCATTACAACTTTTTTTTTTTTTTTTTTTTTTTTTTTTTTTTTGATAAACCCTATCGGCTATCCGGTCGGCCCCGGTAGGAACGCACCGAGGTGCTACATAGTGGACTAGTCCACCGTGTTAACGGTTAGGCCCTTACGGGCTACCACTCTGCCTATCCCGAGTTTGGAATGCCTTCCGACTAAGTGCCAGGGGGTAGTCAGGCCGCCTGCATTTCTGGCTACCAGGTAAACCAATTGGGCCAAAGCCCAACTGACAGACTTCCCAAACAAATGTGTTTTTGTTTCCAGGGAGAATCGAACTCAGGTTTGAGAGTTTCACCCTTTCCCAAAGCTTTCTCTGCCACTAGACCACGGATGCTTGGGCTAAATCATTACAACTTTTATGTTAATGTGGTCATATCGTGTGTACGTTTTCCGACAAAACCACGGATAGAGATAACAATATCCAATTTGTATGAACTAACTTATTTACGCACATTTTAAATAGTTGGAACTGTTTACGCGTTGTTACACGTCCTTCGAACCTTGAATCTTCATTTCTGTCTAAATTCATTGTTTATTCATCTCTGCGGTTCTAAAATGTAATCGACATCGTCTAGACCGTTTCTACTACGTGTTACACTTCAACTCTATCTTATTACATACGTTCTACTCTATTTTTTATTTGTGTTGTGCTCCATGGCCCTTTGTTATTTCTTAGTTAACCGAATAAAGTAATTCTAGTAAAATGATTAGTTTGAGTATGTCATTTAAATTAGCGGATTTGGTTTTTGTAAATTTCTTCTGTCACTCGTTAAATAATAAATAGTACACTTAACCAACTTGATTATTACTCTTTGATAGAAAAAAGAACAAATCAATTTAGTTAGGAAAAGAAAACTAGTTAAAATTCCTAAACTTAATATTTTCTTCTTCTTTTTTGTGTATAAACTTTAAATATTGTTACTCGTCATATTAACTTTGGGAAGATAATGATTTGAGGTTGTGTGCTTTTGCTCCAACAATTATAATATTTTTTCTTTAAAATGACAAGATATAAAAATTATCTAACTTAAAACGGACCGTATATTTGAAAAGGAATAATCTCACAGAGAAAAAATAAAATGATTTTGACCGCTCTTTCTAATGTCTAGTAAATACAAGCGATAATGTGGATGGATCTGTAAGTGATGATATTATATATTTTACTTTGATTGGTTTTAAATGATGTATCAGTTTTTTTTTTTTTTTTTTTTTTTTTTTTTTTTTTTTTTTTTTATGTATCAGTTTTTTTTTTATAGCATACAATAGTTGATGTGTCCCTGCTGAAATATGCATTTTGGTTTTATTGTATTGATCGATGGTTAAATTTAACTGCGTGTCTACGTTAGTTAGAGAAATAAAAACCTTTGTCTCTGGCACATTTTTAAATAAAAGAATTCAAGGGTCCAATAAATATTTGTATCTTATGATTGTACTTATGCCCAAAAAATTTTGTTTTTTTTTTTTGTGGCTTATTTATGAAAAAACTTTAGAATGGTAACTTTTTTGATGAAAAGAGTTAAAGATAAAAAAAAATAGAGTGACACGCAATACTTGATATCATAACCATATATTTCCTTCTAACTCATAGATTTGAATTTCATCTTTAATGATTTAAGAATTTTTTTTTCTTTTTTTATCATCAACAATGGTTTGACATTTCTTTTATCATTTCTTTCTATATGTTAAAATATGGCGACATAATCAGCTGAAAATATATATTTTCAATCGTACATTTGTTATGGAGCATTTTGGAGTTTTTTTATATATGATAATTATCAATTATATTTGAATGCTTTTCAAAAAAGCGTATATGATCATAATCAGTCATCAATGATATATAAATTTTTTTGTTGAAGAAATTGTAGTCAACGACTATTAATACTTTGACGGCATTTTGTACCAATTTTGATAATTGTCTAGCTCTTAAACCTCGGTTTGGTTTACATGTCTATGTTTAATTAGTCGTTGACATCCATAAGCCATAATATAGGTCCATTATAAATAAAACATAATCAAGCTCCCATCACCTTACTATAAAATCTACTTTTTTTGGGCGAAAAACCGAGTCCGAGACTTCTATCTTCTTTCAGAGGCTCAATCCTTGACCATTTGTTTATTTTCTTCATGGTAAGTTCTCATATCCTACAACTCTAGTTTGTTACATCTATTTTCTTGCAGAGAATCAACATGCCTTAATATATTAATAGATTTGATCAAATAAATAATTATTTTGCAATAGATATAGACATATAGTGAATCTAAAGTTTTTTTCTGTCTCATTTTTTTGAATGCATATAATCATGTTCTTAGTATTTTAATTGTTGTTATTTTTTATCGTTCTTAATAGTCGATGATCTTTTCACCAGCTCGTATCAAAAAGACAAAATGTAAAGGCAAGAGACGTATCAGTGCTCCCTAGACTCCTTCTAAGAGACTCTGCTTTATAGATTTTTCTGTGGAGTCTTCCTTGGAGAATGTTTCGTAGAATCAAATTTGTAAGAATGCATCTAGGTTTAGAATATATATGTTTCTCTTTTCCATATAACCGTTTACAATACAATATATATTCAAGAGAATTTTAATTGGAAATATGTGCATTAAATTATAAAACCTAGCTATAAACTGGAGACTTTAATCATGATTTATTAATCGATGGTTCAAACTAAATTCAACATAATATTTGCATAAATTGTGAAAAAAATAAAATTTACTAACTTTTTAAAATAAAACTTACTAAACTTTTACAACAACATTTATCGATTAACCTGTGTATCATATGAATACTAATCTATTATCATACTAAATTGCGTTATTCGATTGACGTTTTGAAGTTTTGGTAATTTGTTAAAAAAAAAAAGGTCAACTATAATGCGGGCTAACTTATAAATTGTCCTAAACATGCCAAATGGATTCTAGACGGGCATAAACAAGCCGAGCTTACCCGGCCCAGGCCTTAACAGGCATAAAGCCCATTTAGAAGATTCAACGAGCTACTTCCATTAACTTGCACACTGATTCAGTGAAATGTTTTCTAGGCTTCAAAGCGATGATCTTTAGTGGCAATCTCGTGTATAGATAGATAAGAGTCTTAAGACTCTATTAATTTCTCTATTAATATATCCGTTTATAAACTAGGGTTTTAATGCTAGGTTTTTTTATCTATTTCTTGGGCTATACATATGTCTTCTTCATGTTACATAGCTAAGGTTGAGCAATGTTCTGAATTTTCTGATTAGCTAAATGAAACACAAAACATTTATAAGATGGGACAAGACTACAATTGTCTTCAACTAAATAATACAATCCAACAGATTTCCTTCAAACTTGACGATCTTCTTCACCATTTTCTTCAATCATTTTCTTCTTCTCTTTCTCTGCTTTCTTTTCCTTTTTCCTCTGCTTCTCTTCTTCCTCTTCCTTCTTCTCTTTCGCCTCTTCCTCGACCTTCCTCTTCGCTTCCTCCTTCTCTTCCTTCAACGCTTCGATCAATCTCTTCAAACAAGTCTCAGCTCCTTCCTTTTCGGATTTCGGCAACAGATTCTCCCCAACATCCGCTGGTGTCATCTTGATTTCTTCAACCTCAAGTAACCTCTTTATCTCCTCAAACAACTCACTCTCCTCCACATCCAAATAGTTCTTAGCCAATACCTTGAACGCTTCGAAACAACAATATGACATCTCTATATGCTTATCCATTCTTCCTTTCCGAATCAAAGCCGGATCTAGCTTGTCCACAAAGTTTGTAGTGAACACAATGATCCTCTCACCACCACAAGCTGACCATAACCCATCAATGAAATTTAGTAACCCTGATAAAGTAACTTTGCTCTCTTTATTCTCACCTTCATTTTTCATCATCTTCTTCTCAATCGTTTTCTTATCGTCTCCATCTTCCTCTTCCTCCTCCTTTTTCTTTCTCTGCCCCGTGAGATTAAGCGAACAATCGATATCTTCAATCACAATAATCGACTTTGCTGAAGTCTCAATCAATAATCTCCTTAGATGTGTATTATCCTTAACTGTTGTCAATTCAAGATCATAAACATCATACTCCAAGAAATTCGCCATCGCAGCGATCATGGTAGACTTCCCAGTCCCGGGTGGTCCAAACAAAAGATACCCTCTCTTCCACGCTTTTCCGATCTTCTTGTAATAATCTTTACTCTTACTAAACTTAATCAGATCACTCTTGAGCTCTTCCTTCTTATTCTCCTCCATAGCTAGAGTATCGAAGGTCGCGGGATGCTCAAACGTTACATGACTCCACTTTGTCTGATTTCCATGGCTCTGTTCCGGAGTATTCGAATAAAGCTTCCTCTCTCTGTTCTTTAGCTCTATTGTCTTCCCTTCTCTCATAACATGCTCAAGGTACCTCTCTATGATTACTTCTCGGTCACGTCTATGGAACCTCAACATGTAAAATCTCTTCTCATCAGCTGCAGGGTAAAATGAGAACGGTTGCCTCGTAGTCCCCTCTTTCTTCGACTGCCACCAAACCCTAACGCCCTCGAAATCGTCGGTGATTTCTTCCTTATCATCCATGCTTAGAACAAGAGACTTGCTTCCTTTGGTTGTGTTGGCTTTAAGCTTCTTGGCTCGAGCAGAAGAGTCTTTGCTTAAATAGCTTTGGATCCCCAAGTAAGCCTCGCTTCGCTTGAAATGCTCTCCGCTGTATTCATGGAAAGTTATTTGGATGTAAGGGTAAAAGCGACCAAAGAGTCTATGAAGGTATGGTTCCAAGTGGCCTCCGAAGTGAGGGAAGAATTGTTTGAAGATTGTGTATATAAACATTAGTGTTGCTAGAGAAGAGCCTGTGTTAGTCCATAACTGACCCATTGTCGCCATTTTTTCTCTTGAAGCTTTTGTTTTAGGGCTTTGGAAGAGATTTCTTGGGCTCTAAGGAAGGTTTGAGTTGAGATTTTGACAAGAGAAGATTGAAGGGTGATATTGGGGAAGAAGATGGTGGTTCTGGTAAGAGCTAAATGATAGTTATATGGACTTGAGAAGTCTCTATCAACGTTATATTATTAATTTTTATGTCTACGCATGCACATGTGACATCACATCGAAACTAACTTATGACGAAACTTTATATGGAAAAGGGCATAAGAAAACAAAAGTCGAAAAGCCTCGGATTAAAAACTCAAGTGTGATTTTTCTACCATCAATTTTTATAAGTCTATGATATGTATTTAAATATCAATAGGATCTTTATTGGCTAATCAACTTATTTGTCAAGTTTGTTATGGTTTCCTCCAAATTTGACAATCTTTAAACAAATAGAACACCCCACTATTTTACGAGTAGAGGCCAAAAAGAATCTTACGTGTACTGCATTGCTTTATTTCATAATTAACTTGTAGTGGTGGACTAAAAGCATTTTCATACTTTAACTTTCTTAAAGAACTAAATTACGATTGGATAATATATTATCCAAAAAATCAATAACTCAACTTATAATAGACCAAAAAAAAAGTATTAGAAATCAATCATAATAAGATTAAGCATTTGGTCTTTATCAAAAAAAGAAGGTTTAAGCATTTGTAAGTTTTAAAAAAAAAGGTTAAAAATGCATCTATGTAAGTTTTAAAGAATTTTCTTTTTAGTTCTTAATGATGATTCATTTTCGTCAGTGCCGTGCCAACTTAATTAAAAATGGGGCAACAGCCCTAGGCCACATCCTATATTCTAATTTTTGAGGCCACAATAACAAATTAATGTGTTTAGCTTACATGATTAAGTTTTATGTTTAGTTTCTTTTTACTATTGGATTTTTTTTTTTTGGGTGAGTCACCGGGAGTCAAACTCCCGGTTAATTATTATTAAAAATAAATGAATTACAAGCTAACCAATCGCGGATATGAAGATCCCGCAGCGTCTTCCCGCATGATCGAATCAACAACTATCGGAATCGTACAAAAAGAATGAAAACCTAAAGGTAACATAAACGCATAGTTTGGTAACCCATCCGCCAGGCGGTTAGCCTCCCTATACACGTGAGTAATACGGACTGTCCAGTCCTTCGCCAAAAAGCCATGGCACAAATGTACCAGGAAAGACAAGGGATGAGACTCACCTATCCCCGTCTTTAAGAATCCGACCACTATCTCCGAGTCTACCTCTAACTCCAGTCGTGTTATCCGTTTCTCCCAAGCTATGAATAGGCCATAATACACTCCCCAAAGTTCAGCTAACGGTGCCGAGCAACGCCCAATGTTGGATCTTTATCATCACTGTCATTTCTCTTTTTGTTTTCATCTTTTATTATTTTATAATTCATCCTACATATTTTTTACTCTATTAAAATTATTTCTTACCAAAATTTTGGATAATATTTTGTTAATTGAGATTTTTAATAATAAAAAAAGCCACAGTTTTAAATTTAGCCACAAGTATGGCACTGATTTTCGTGCTTAAAAAAATATATTTATCCATTAGAAAACTTAAGAATCTTGGTCCATTATAATGATAGCTAAATGTTACTCACTCTATTTCGTTTTAATTGTCGTTTAAAGGTTTTTTCACACAGATTAAGAAAAGCATTAAATTTTCTGTTTTACCCTTTATTAATATATTTTTAAAATATTTCATTGGCCAAAACATTAAAACAGTAGGGATAAAACTGGAATTTTCACCAAACATTTGCATTGAAAACCTAAAACGACAACTATTATGAAACAAAATTTAAATCCTAAAACGACAACTAAACTGAAACGGAGGGAGTATCTAATAAAACAATTTTGCTGAGTTCTCGTCGTTTGTGTCATAGTGTGTATAAGGAAGACGTCTGTCTTTTTAATGTAGGACGACTATTAGTATTACTAATACTATTATAAGCTCAAGTCCAACTAATACAGTCACGGATTGAGACATTTGAGGAATTGGTTTAGGTCCACTGAACCGAGAAAGAGAACGTATTTAATTGGACCTTTTTTGTTTTTTTAAATATATTTTTCTTAAATCAGAGTCAAAAAATTTGTAGTGTATAATCTTGTTAATGTTTGAAGATTTTTATTTTCTTCTTAAAAGGAATTATAAGATCATAACTATGTCGAGAGCATTGCATTATAGTTTTTTAAAAAGCAACATTCATAAGACTAAAGAAATGTTTTCAAAAGATCGGTTGTGATCACTTCTATGTCTTGTTCAGCAAACTCTGGAACATTGACTTCTGGGCTCCCACTCAACAATGTCCTCACATTTCTTTGCATAGTATATCTCGATGAAATGAAGAACATCATTTATTTTTATTGTGAACGCAAATCCCTGTTCCACAAACTTCGTCGTAGATTTGACTGAGACTTGGAAATTTAACCCGATGAATCTCCCATCAATGTTAACTAATGGACCACCAGAGTCTCCAAGATTTTACACAATCAGTCTGGAAAGATTGGCGGTCATTCTCTGTCCCAAGTGTGTCGTCGACACAACTCACTATACCAAGAGAAACACTTCTCTGTAGAGACAGAGTGGAACCAAATGAAAGTACAAAATCTCTAGGACGGACATTGGTTAGAATTTGAGACTAAAAGTCAATTTTGATTTTTATAAGAATAGAGAAAAATTCAAAGCAACTAATAAAGTAGCATCAAACTATATAAAGAATGTCATGAATTATTATCGATAATGAATATATACAGTTTTTTAAAAAAATATTGTTGTCAAAGACTAATAGTACTTTGATGCTATCTTGTACTTGTTTTGAACAGTTTATAATCCTAAAACTCAACTTTAGTTTGGATAGTTTAGTTAGATTTACATGTTCATGCTTAATTATTTACCATCAAAATCAATCAAATTACAACCAAAACAACCAAAAATAATTTTTGTAATATGTAGATCCGCTTGAATTTAATATCAAAGTATTTATATGATTAAGAAAAACTCATGTAATAAGATCTAAGAAGAAAAGTCAAAAATATTAGTCGTAGAAAAAACAATACTCGTTTTATGCTCTTTTCTTTTTGGAGAGTTTTATATTAACCACCAATCAACAACATGTAATGTCTCAAGATGGTTGTTGATATTGGTTTCTCAAAAACCGGTGATCTTCTTTACCATAATGATATTATGGAAATAGATGATTTCCTTAACATTAACTCAGCAGATTATTGGCGGCATTTAGAGAGGAACCTTGTTAGTGAGCCTTGCTAATGCTCTGATCATTGTTGGTTCACCATAATGATCGTCTTATTAAGAGTGTTGATGATTATGAAACACATACAATCTGGTGGACAATATGTGGGAACATTAACATTCTGAATATCTGACAATATCATTGTGGGATCTTCTTTGGTGTTGTTGATATTAGATGGGATAGAACACAATTTCATTCACAAAGTACTGCAAACAGTGTTCTAATTCATAACCTAAAGTTCACTTAAATTTAACCTACTAAACTAAGTACTACAAACAATGTTAGAAATCATAACCAAAAGTCACTTAACTTAAGTATGTGCAAAGAAAAACTAACTAGGCTAAGTAACATCCTAATTAGATGTAAAAATGTAATCATAACCAGAAATAACCATACAATTGAACATACACCTTACAATTTTTTTAAGATTTACGAAAACTATTACTAGTTAATTAACATCCTAATCAGATGCAAAATTGAAGCAAAAATAGAACTGAGAAATCAAAGTTTGTACTCGTGACTATTAGATTAGGGTTCTCTCCTCTACTAATCTAAAAAATAACCCATGTTAAACAAAAAGTGTAAGATGCGAACTTTTTCACTAACATTAAAGTACTTATTTAATTCAAAGAAGCTAATGAAATATCACCAAACTATATTAAATACTAAAATCTCATTGATTAAATAGTTAATTATGGTCCAATCTCCTTGTTGTGTTGCTTGTGTCTTCGAGTTGTGCACAAAAGAGAAGACTTGTCTATAAAAGACTCTTTCGCACATAGAGGGTTTCAAGATGAAAAATAAGCAAACTTGAAGGCCCAGTACGAGGCCCAGGCCCATTTCACTCAGTCGTCGAAAGCTTTTTTCCCGACGGCGACAAACCAAAACGGACCTGAAGCCATCTCGCCGGAATCTCTGTAATTTCAAGTGAGTTCTTCGCCGTCTTCTCTGCACAAAGTGAGGAGCTTTCTTTCTCTTCTATAATGTCGGATCTCAAGTCAACCTTTCTCAATGCTTATTCCGTTCTCAAGTCCGATATCTTTCATGACCCTTCCTTTGAATTCACCGATGAATTTCGTCTCTGGCTTGAACTGGTAAGTACCCTTCTCCGATCTCATCTCCCTCCTGGGGTCTCTCCGTTGATGAAAGGTTCAAACTTTTGAAGCAAGGCAATGACTTTAACGAGGAAGAGGTTTTCCTCTGTCTAAATTTTGAAGCATTCGAAATTTTGTCCTCTGTTTAGGTTGAGTTTCAAACATCTTTGTGGCCAGATGATAGATTTTATAATAACCAACTTGGGAAGGTGAAAAGGATTTGTCTAAGTACTCATTGTTAATGTGAGTCAAGTGTTGGCATTATCATATAATATTATAAATGGTTTGTTCTGATGGTCGATTAAATGTTGATACAGTGTTCTGATCTTATGAAATGGTTGCTTGTGCGTTACTTATGGCAGGCGAAGATTTGGAGAATCATGTTGATGTGAAGAATGTTTTTGTTGACATAGGAATCTACTTCCAAGTGCAGGTACTAGTTTGCTGTTAAGTGAGAGCTATATGATAGGCTAATGTCATGAAGTTGATAGATATGCCTTCTTTTGTGTAGGATAATTATCTCGACTGGTTTGCGGATCCTGAGACGCTTGGCAAGGTTTTTTTACACATTGCAAACACTTTGTTTTTCAAGCTGATCTGAATGTAACTCTGAGTTCACTTGATTGGTGTTTTATAATGCAGATAGGAACAAAAATAGAAGACTTCACATGGTCCTGGAACGATGTAGCGAAGAACAAACGAAGATATTAAGAATCTTATATATTTGTAAAAGGTTTGAATCCTGTTTAGAATCTGAAACAGGTTTTGTTCTAATATATAAAGAGAACCATGGTAAAACCTGACCCATCAAACGCTGCTAAAGTGAAGAATCTCTACAAAGAGCTTGATCTTGAGGTTTGAAACAGTCTGAAACCTCAGGGATATGGTCTGATACACAACTAACATATGTTAATTGGGTCTGGTTTGATCTTAATATTGTAGGAAGTGTTCATGGAATATGGGAGCAAAACTTACGAGAAGCTTAAGGAAGTGATTGAGGCTCACCAAAGTAAAACAATCTAAGCACTGTTAAGATCTACAAGAGGCTCAAGTAGTAGATACATTAGTGTTTGTAGTTTTGTTGAATTTTTTGTTTTTGACATCAATATTAAGGTACCTATCAAATTCAACACATTTGATCTCAGAAGCTAGAATTGGTGACTAGAAGTCTAAAATATTAAATTCAAAGCAGAATCTTTACCTATATAAATACCTAAATTTGGCTAATCTCCTTGTTGTGTTGTTCTTCGGCTTTAACCTTTTGGCTCCACTTGATCCTCTCCAAAGCTCGGATCAAACCCTTGAGTGAACCATCAACTTCTGTCCGATCTTTCACCATCAAATTCTCCGCAACATCAGCCGGTGTTATCTTCGTTTCTTTAAGCAAAGACTCAATCTTTCCAAACAAGTAATGCGAATCAAGATTCAGATAGTTCTTGGCTAGAATCTTGAATGCACCAAACGTACAATAAGAGAGCTCAATATGCATATCCATACGACCTCTTCTAATCAAAGCTTGGTCAAGTTTCCCCAAGTGATTCGTTGTAAACACAAGAATCCTCTCTTGACCACAAGCTGACCAAATCCCATCTATAAAGTTCAATAACCCTGAGAGTGTAACTGCATTACTCTTCTTCCCTTCATCACCTTTCACGTCTTTAACATTCCTCTCTCCCGTGAGGTCCAAGGAACAATCTATATCCTCAATCACAATGATGGACTTACTAGTCGTATTTATCAACAGCTTCTTCAACTCCCAGTTACTTCCAATCGAAGTTAACTCAAGATCATAGATATTATACTTCATAAGATTCGCCATAGCCGCAATCATCGTAGACTTACCAGTCCCTGGAGGTCCATACAACAAGTAACCCCTCTTCCAAGCTTTCCCAATCCTATCATAATACTCTTTGCCATCTCTAAACGCCACAAGATCACTCAAAATCTCATCTTTCTTGTCAATATCCATAGCCAAAGTATCAAACGTTGCGGGATGCTCGAAATCAATGCAAGTCCAAAGACCTTTCATATTAGTTTTCCAACGCAAACTCGGATTATTCATAAACACCGATAACTTCTTCTTCCTCGCCTTAATCGATTTCCCTTCTTCCACAACGTAGCTTAAGTAAGAACCAGTCACAACATCCCAATTACTTCTATGAAAAGTAAGCCTACAGATTTTCTTCCCTTTAACACATCTAAAGATCTCCCACCACATCTTCACACCTTCATACTCTTCTTCGATTTTAACATCGTCTCGTTTCAAATCCAAAGACGTGTTCTCTTTAACTTGATTCCCTTTAAGATTCTTCACTTCAGAGTTAACTTTTGCACCAAGGTAGGTCTTCACAGCTGCATAAGCGTAGTTGTATCTATACTCTTCGATTTCACTGAATCTGATGTGAGCGTAAGGTGAGAACAAGTGGAAGATCTTGTCTGAGAGTTTCTTGAAAATGGGTATTCGTTGGATTGCATTGAAGAGAAGTTGCTGAATCTGTCGAGGGAAGTATCTCTTGAGAGTTGACCAAACGAAGAACAAACCAGCCATGTTTGATCCAATCGTTGTTAGGTTTTTTCCAAACATCGGCTTCACGATCGATCGTCCCATCAAGATTTCAATAACTTGTTTCTTGTTTTTATGGATATGAAGATTCGATCAAAAGAAAAAGAATATGAAGAAGGTTTTTGCTCTTCTCTCGATTTGGTTAGGTCATAATCTCTGTTCTTGCTCTGTGATCTCTCTCTCTTCTTTATGTAGTTGTTCTTCAAAGTGATGATGTGGAAGTTTCTTATTGTTTTTTTTCTAATTAATGGCTCTTTAGTTTCCTTTTTGTATTATTCATTTTCGTATTCTTATTAGAAATAGGATATTTACTAAAAAAGTGTTTAAGATAATAATATCCTACTAAAAATATTTCTAAAATCATATTTGCGTTTTTAGGGTAATTAACGAAATTTTCTTCCACTTTCCTTTTTATTTCATGCAAATTTTCTGTTTATTTATTTATTTATTTATATATATTTAATCTTCTAATACTATAATATCGCCAAATTTCTATTATTTTTATTTTATTTTTCTTGGTTACCAAGTTTTCTAAAATTTTATGCTGCTGTAAATTTAATGTTTTTCTCACATGTAGTTTTCAGCTTCTTAGTACGAATTTGACTGAAAAAATAATTCAAAGATTATATATTTGCTTTAATAATAAAGATACTATTGTTACGTCATATAGATATGGGAGTTGGGGACCAAGCTGAGTAAAGCAAATTATGTGGCATTGTAAATTGGTCCAAAATTTCAAAATTTATATATATATGTTTTTTTCTTTTATCCTAGTCTCCTAGATCAATTTATATGATTATATCCATCACACAAATATTTTAATAGAATTGCTGTAAAAAAATATAATATTCAATAGAACCAACAAAACATCACACAAACTTTGTAAGATTTTTCTTATAACTACTCATGATCATAATAACTACATGAGCTTAAAAATCATTTTCAACATTGGAGTACAGATATGATTTTAAACAGTAAATAAGAAGCATTTTGTTGTCAGACCAAACACAGTCCTTTATGTTTATGATAGGATTGAGTAGATGGTTTCTTGGAGAGCAAGCTACCATCTTTTCACATCTTCAAGATTCACCACAGAGAATCTTTTGGTGATCCAATTCTATCATATAAGCAATATACATATATGTTTTATATTAATTGGTATTTTTTTCGATAATATAAGGACAAAGGAAAAATAAACATACAACAAGACTAGTAGTAGTAGTATGGGATAAGTCGTGTTACCATAAGATATTGAGTAGTTGTTCGTATTACTCTTGTTTCTATTCGTTACTAAGAAAATAATATGATCATGGATAAATCTCATGACAAGACTAAAGCTTTTATCATTCGGTACGTGTTTCAAAACACAATTCATTCCATATGGCGGGAAAGGAACAACAGGAGGCATGGAGAACACCCGTCTCCGGCGGGAAAGCTTGTCAAGATGATTGACAAAAACATACGAAACCGGTTCAGCACGTTGAAGATTGGAGGCATATCGAAGTACGAAGGTGGCATCGTATTTTGGTTTGGAACAAGAAGAAATCAAGGATAGATCTTTCTGTACTTGTTTTTTATGAAAAGTCTTGCAATCCTCTTGTAACAAACAATGATTTTTTCTTTTGAGTATAATTTAACATTAAATTCAAAAAAAAAAAAATTGAATGGAAAAATCTTAAAATCTAAGAGCATCTCCAATGTTGAGAGTCCCCCACTCACCAATTGTTTTAATATAATTTTTTTGAAATTGTTAGATGAGAGCTTGTGTTTTTTTTTTAAAAAAAAATTCATAGTCCGATCCAATGGTAATTTTTCTAGTGGGGTTTTTAGGAAATTTTAAAAAATTTTATTTCATAAAACTTAATAATTTTGCAATTCATAAAATATTAAATATACATTATTTTCAAACATTTAAAAATAGATGTGAGAAAAAATTGGATTCGATTCCAAAATGGCAAACATCGAACTACACAATTAGGAGAAAGTCAAAGCTCTTTGGTGTTGTTTTCTGTCTCCATGTAATACACAATGCAACCTTGAAAATCCATGGCCACAACTTGAGAATTGATACATTGCTACTTTTTTTTCACAATATCCGACTCCTCCAAAGGATTTGTGATAACTGATAAGAGTGTTGGTGTTGTTTTTCAAGATCACACTAGCTTTAACATGAATACAAAACAGTCACTACTAAATGTCTATAACTTGGTGTCGGTATACACACACTACTAAATTACTAATACAGCGACAAAGATTGAGAAGTAAAATTCAAGCCAGAATTGCAAATCTTCATTTTGATGAAATTTATTTAGAGTCATGAACATTGAACAACAATACACAAACTAAAGAAAGATTTTGATGTAATCCGATGTTCAACACTTATTTAAGATTGTAGCTATATGCTTTTAGGGAAAATTAGACATTACATATTTGTTACCAAGAAATACTCAATAACTAAAGAGCCATGATCATAATCCTAAGTGATCTAAGATGAAACTTGAAATACTCAATTAGCAAATAAACTAAAAACATCCTAAGTGATCTAGCATCAAGCAAATTCTGATCCTTCTTCATAGTTTTCTTGTTGTTGAAGAAATAAATCAAACGCCACCGTTTACATCAGCTTCCCTCTGATTATGGCTTCAATTTCTTCACTTCTTCCTTTGCTTTCTTCTTCTCTGCATTCTCTGCTCTCTTCTTCTTCTTCCACGCTTCCTTCTCTGCTTTTTTCTTCTCTTCTTCCTCAGCCATCTTCCTCGCTTTCTCCTTCTCTTCCTCCAAAGACATAAGCAAACGCTTAAGACAAATCTCTACATCTTCTTCCTCAGACTTCGGCATCAAATTCTCAGCAACATCAGCCGGAGACATGTCAACTTCCTCCACCAATCGCTTAATCTCTCCATACAAGTCATGTGACTCAATCTCCAAGTAGTTCTTAGCCAAAACCTTAAACGCTTCAAACCTACAATAAGACATCTCAATATGATTATCCATTCTTCCTCTACGTATCAATGCCGGATCAAGCTTATCCAAATAATTAGTTGTAAACACAATAATCTTCTCTCCACTACAAGCTGACCACAACCCATCAATGGCGTTTAATAGCCCTGACAAAGTAACTTTGCTATACTTCTTCTTCTCAGCTTCTTTCTTCTCTTCTTCATCCTCTTCATCCTCATCTTCCTCCTTCTTTTTCTTTCTCTGTCCCGTAAGATCAAGCGAACAATCAATATCTTCAATCACAACAATAGATTTCCCTTTTATGTCCAACATTAACTTCTTCAACTCCGCGTTATCTGCCACAGTAGTTAACTCAAGATCATACACATCATACCCTAAGAAATTAGCCATTGCAGATATCATTGTCGATTTCCCTGTCCCGGGCGGTCCAAACAAGAGATAACCTCTCTTCCACGGCTTCCCAACCTTCTTGTAATAATCTTTCCCTTTACTAAACTTTATCAAATCCTTCTTTATCTCTTCTTTCTTCTCTGGATCCATAGCTAAAGACTCGAACGTTGCAGGATGATCAAAAGAAACGTTGCTCCACTTTGATCCTGATCTCCAAGAGCTCCAATCATGACTCGAGTTATTAGTGTAAAGCTTCCTCTCTCTCTTCTTAAGCCCAATCTCTTTCCCTTCTCTCAAAACATGATCAAGATAAGTCTTTGTGATCATATCTCGATGCCGACTATGGAAACTCAAAGTCAAGTACCTTCTCTCCCCAAAACCCTTATCACGGTTCGTACTAGACCGATTATGGTTCTCTCTCACGCTTGAAGACCACTTCACCTTCACACCTTGAAACACATCTTCAACTGTCTCGTGATCATCCAAACTAAGCACCAAAGATTTGCTGTTTTTAGACTCGTTGGCCTTTAATCTGTTTCCAAGAGCTGTTGATTTCGTGGACAAGTAGTTGCGTATAGAGTCATACGCTTCACTTTTCTCCAGACCTTCTCGAGAATACTCGTTGAACTTGATGTGAACAGAACTAGAAACCCATCCCATCAACTTGTAGACGTATTTCTCAATGTGGACTTGGAGATGGTAAGGGAAGATTTGTTTGTACATCGCCCAGAAGAACATAAGGCTCGTCATTGTTGAGCCTGTGAAACCCCAAACTGATCCGGTCTGAAGCATCTTTGTGTTTACTTGTGTTCCACGTAACTCTCTCTGCTTTCTGTTTCTCTTGAGACTTTGCTCTGTTTTTGGTCTCATCGCTTCTAAACCACTCACTCTCTATTTATCTTACTCTTGTTACAACTTTCGAGTGTCTCAAAAAATGCCAGAATATTTATTGTTATTTTGATAAAATTAATATATATAATATTCTGAAATTATAGAGTACGAATGAGTATACATATTTTTCATGTTATTGAGTACGAATTTGACTAAAAAGTATTCAAAGATTTTTGTTTATTTGCTTAAATCATGAAGATGCTATGAGCTTGAAGCTAGGTGTGGGGACCAAACTGATTCTGAGTTCTGACAGCAATTATGGAGCAAGCAATGTAAAAATAAAGTGGTGATGTAAAAGTTTTGGTACTGAAAATTCATTTAATTTTATACACAGAGATTTGTTCCATCATTGTAAATATATGCATTGGTTATGGAATTACAATTTTGTTTTGTTTTTGTTTTGTTTTTTTGTGTGTGTGGAAAATTGAAGAGCATTTGAAGCTTTAGAAATGTGTATCCATCCATCCACATGACAATTACTATCCATAAAACTTCATAAAGTTGCTGAAGCTTTTCTTAGATGTTCCCTAGTCACTTACTTTTCATTTTTTTCTTTCTTTCACATGAACCATTGTTGGTTACATGTAGTATTAGAGACTTGAGCAGTATTTGATGTACCTTGTTGTAAGAAATATTATCTATATAATAATAACAATCCGAATAAATGCTTATTGCAGTTGTGAAATTTTTATCACAACTTCTCGTTATAATTTTTATTTAACTAAAAATTATATTTTACGGTTGTGTCTTTTTAGAAAGTTGAAATCTAAATAAATTTTTTCTACAGTTACATTTTTTTTATCTAAC